CTGTTCATCATTATAAATAAAAATAATAAGTAATAACTAATTTAACGTTAGGTTAGGTTAGGGAATAACATATTATAATATAAAAGCACCGAAAGCCAGTCATAAATAAAAGATTTGAACCTATTTTATTTTCTAAAAAGGTAATTTTCTATACATCAACTTGTTTCAGCCTATAATCATGCATTATTGTATGTATGTAAAAAAAAAAATGAATGCCAGTTTTATCAATAAAAAAAAAACGTTTAATTCCTTTAACCAATAAAAAAATATTATGAAATAATTTTAGTTTTTTTCTTAATGGTATTAAATTATTGAAAAATCTAAATAAAACAATCATTAATCATTATACCTTTTAATAGCTTTTGATATAGTTTTTACGTAGGTATATTTTTTTTGAAGTCATTTATTTAATATTACCTAATTATTAATAATCACTTGTATAGTTACTAGCTGATAGCATTTCGTTGCCAGTATGAAATTACAACATTTAAAAAAAATTGTGACTGTTCACCTCTTTTTGGGTGAAACTCAGCCTTTTTGAATTCAAAAATTAGCCTCCTGGTAGGCAATCTGACTATGTTAGGGCAATGCGTGACATCATATCAAGTAGACAATGTGCGAAAATTTGATTTGATGCACGCTTGCACCCGACTTTCCCGATTAACCAACGACAACCAAATACGAGTAATTAAATGTTAATTTCTACTAATTATTTCTCCTATAACCGCAATGGCAGCCATTTATAAACAAAAACTTCTACCGTAAATCTCAAAATCCCCGTTTGAGGCGTTTGAGCACCTATCCTGGTCGACACTAGGAGGGTGAAAAATACTTTACGGCCTATCTATTCTCATACCTACTAAATATACAAAAAAAAAATTCTGTTAAAATCGGTTGGGCTGGAGGAGTGTGTCCACTAAACACTGTGCAGACACGAGATTTGTATGTATTAGAAAATATATACTTGTATATATACAGTATACTTGTATACAGTATGAACTACTTACGTGGAACCTTGTTTTAAATTTTTAATCCTTAGGTATACAATTCGAACATTTTATTAAATTTAACTAAAAACTAATTTGTATTCAATTTGATAAATATTGTTGAAATTTGAACTTAAAATGATTATATTAAAAAAATATTGTGTATGTATTTTATATATTATTAAACAGATATTGCATCAATATGCGAGGAGAATCTTATAGAATTTTCAAGCTTTTTGACTCAACGAATATAATTGTATTGTTGTATTTATATTTAAAGAAAAAAAAACTAAGAATATTGTAAGACGTAAGTTAATAATATCCGCACACAGCTCATAAAAATTCAAAATATTTTGAAAATTTTGATCAAGTACCTATAGTGGCTATAGAAAATTATAAAATAAATACAATATGGTGTAAATTTAAAATATCTAAGGCTTTTCGTCAATTTACAATCGAATAGAAATATCCAGTGTGGTAAAAACTTCACACTCATAAAAATATAATTTAACTTTTCTATACACATTTTTTCCGGCACACATTTCAGTACACAAGTCTTAAATTAAGATACATAATAGTATAATACACTAATAATACCTGTGAATGAAACGAAAAAAAAATAATTATAATAAAATTACATTTTGATCAAATTAATTGTTGGCAGACATTGATGGTTTTGATAAAACAACAATGCAAACCAATTACCAAATAACTTTTAACTAAGTGATGCAACCTCATAATTACGTAATACGTCACATACGTAAATTTAATAGTGCGAGTTTTAAAACATCAAATATATATATTATATATATATCAAATATTATACTACAGACAGTGAAGTATATAGTCATATACTCCTATAGTAGATTTGTTGCTCCAGCAACACATAGGTACTTACTCAATTTGATGGGTGGGTGCTGTGTGGTTGGATGTTGGGGGACTGTTTATTATACTATGAGTACTTAGTGTAACCTAATTAAAAACAAAACAATAAACTAAACATAAGTTTTGTAATAAATCATTTTTAGAAGAAAACGTAGCATTCATTATGTTATTTATATTAATTTATCCAACCAGTAAATTATAATCAAAATAATACCGACAGTATAATATGTGGACTTTGATTCGTGATATTTTTAGATTCAGAGTGAAGCAATACCAATTTTTGACAAATTTGATTTTTTTTATAGTGTAACTCAAAAACAATTGACCGTCGATCCTTTAAATTTCCCCCATATTAGTATTTTCTACAGTGGTTAACAGTTTGAAAACATTTTGTCACTTTTAAAGCTCTACAGCCATAAAACATTATCAATTATTTAAGTTTGTTTTCAATAACTGTCAGTAAATATTTTTCCACTCAATCGAAAAACTTGAAATATTGTGATGACACATTCCTCAAAAATTGTTTAAAAGTGTAATTAAAAAAAAGTTGAAAATCTAAATCGTTCTGAAAACTGTTTTCAATTCTTTTGATAGTTAAAACTAACATTTTTGAAAATTTTTTTGGGCAAAATTGTTAACTATCTAGTTTAGTTTTGAAGTTTGCTCGGAAAACCTTCCACCCCAAAATTCACTAGAAGTAAAATTGTATTAAAAAGCCATCAACAGGTATGCCACCAACACCTAAGTTCGAAAAAAAGGAACATTTTCCAAATTTTTATCCCATCAACATTCAACGCATAAATCATCATTTAAATAAATAGTATAGCTCAGTTTAAGCGCCTTCCTTTTAAAAATCTATAAGTAACATAAACGTCGTTTTATAAACTATAGTTTCAATTCCTTAATAGGTAATCGTCTGTTAGCTACATATATTTTTTCCTTTAAAATAATGGTTGTTTCAATTAGAAATATTATATATTTTGTAAGTTATTTATAAAAATAATGATTTGTTTAAAAAAAAATTATATTAGATAAATTATTTTTTGACATTGCTCAAAAATTAATAAAAATATGTGACCCACTCATTGAATGTTAATAATTTATATTTTATAATAAACGTTTGTAGGTGGGTCGTGGGTCGTGAATTTTAATCAGCAATAGACACATATTTATTTGAGGATAGCCTCCACTGATTTGAATAATATTATATTAATATAATAGCTGATCCCGTGCACTTCGTTGCCCGTTAAATGTACCAACTCTTTATGACTCAAACTTTGTTCAATTCGTTATTTAATATTCGGTGAATGGTGTTCAAAATTTATCTTAACTTTTCTGTTGCCTGGAATAAAAACTCTGATTCGCAGCAGTACAGGGCCTAAAATAAATGAAACTTCGTACTACACTATTTTATAATTTCACATAATTTAATATGAGTTCTCCCTCTCTAAAAATAAAATATAAGTTAATTTTTTTTTTTTTTTTTGAAAATTTAACATAACACCTGTCACCTGTATAGAATAATTAAAAGTATAACCTAAAATTATATTTAAAACTGTATTTTTCCAAGTTCAATATTATTTGTTAAATTATATTTTTCTTTGACTTCTTCAAAAACCCCTTGATACCATTCCTGTTTTTTTGCATGTGTATGCATTTTTTAATGTCTTTTTTTTTTGTTTATCCAATTAAAGACAGCTGGTTGAGGATCAAACTCGTCTAAAGCTGACATGTTTATTTTCACATAAAGAGAATCTTTCATTACTGTAGGCCAGTGGTTCTTAACCTTTTTCGAATGACGGAACACTTAACATTTTACAAGATTTTCGCGGAACACAACCGTAAAATAAAATAGTAGTACATACATTTTTAATTTTTTAATATATTAAACAATGAATGTATAGCATAAAATTGTTTGCATGCCATACATGTTAGTGTTAGTCACTAAAAAATAATAAAATAATAAAAAGAGTTAAAAAAAATTAAAAAATTTGAAATCGAATACTTTGTATGAGATATTTGTGCCTTATGATTTTTACAGATATTTTCAATATCTGGCCGTATGTACGATATTGCTACTCTCATTTCCTCTTCAATATTTGTCAGCCTTTCTCGTTTCTTTGTTTTGATATTCGTCAGTGTTGAAAATCCAAGCTCACATAAGTATGAGGTTGAAAATTGTAATAATATTGAAATTGCTTTTTCAGAAATTTTTTTAAATTCGGTTTGAACTGAAATCCAAAATTCTTCTACTGTTATTTCGGAAAATTTTATTTTTAGAGTTCGATCTGTTGTTAGCGTTATGAATTCTTCCTCTTCTTCTAACGTAAATTCATAACTTGAACTGGTTGATTTGAAATTCATTTAGGCTCTGCTGATTTTGCAGACCCTCAATGAATTTCCAAAGAGATGGATGATTTGCTCCTAAAAGAGAGCTGAATCCTCGATGCCAGCCTTCAACGGCGTTGTTAGTTTTGGGTAGATCATTCAACGATGCCTAGTAACAATTCCAGAGGCTCAGCTTAAATTTAGGAAGCATTCTTCCAAGGGCGTTCGTCGGTCAGTTCGATTCTAACATTCGGTCTTGTAAGAAGTCAAAAGCAACCATGCCACTTGAATTTGTTTTAAGCCAGAAGGGCAACCAACAGTTGATCAATAAAGGTTTTGTGTATACCACGGACAAAATCAAAGAAGACAAACACATACCCATAACTGTGTTATCGAGACACAGCATTGCGAATTAAAGAAATCGTTGAAATCTATGGGAATCGCGAAACCTCCGATTATTTGCAGGGAAATGCTCATAATTTTCAATCCCAATCTTGCTAAATGGCCAAGTTTATGGGGAACTCGTCGTTTTAAAAAATGTCCTTTTTAGGGCATAAAAAGGTTCTTTTCAGAGCCAAAAATATTTATTATTAAAAAAAACTAGGCAACGACGAGTTACGTATTTTATTTTTAATTATTTAGTAACATAATTAATTTTCCAAAATTTTCAGTTTCATATTAGTTAATTTTTATTCTTATATTAGTCCCATAGAAACACATTCGTTTTGTAAAAAAACATACCATCGGCGTATTTACTATCGGCGTAGATACTCGTCGGCATTTTTTCCGTCGGCGTAAATACTAGTCGGCGTAGATACCGTCGGCGTCGATGCTATCGGCGTAGATACCGTCGGCGTTGATACCGTCGGCGTTGATACCGTCGGCGTTGATACCGTCGGCGTTGATACCGTCGGCGTTGATACCGTCGGCGTTGATACCGTCGGCGTTGATACCGTCGGCGTTGATACCGTCGGCGTTGATACCGTCGGCGTTGATACCGTCGGCGTAAAGACATGGAACCATTGTTACAATGGCATTTGAAAAATATTAAAAATCCTTAGTCACAGTTTTTTTTTATAAGCATTTAAAGTTCAAAAATTGACAAAATGTGGAAAAATCACCTAAATTAGTAAATTATTTTGAGAAAAGAATTCATAAAAATTTTTCTTTTTAAATCTAAGGTTTTAAAATGTAATACAAAATTACTTATAAGTTTATCTACTTTTATCAAAAAAAAAAAAATGTCTACAAGAAAGTCAAATTAAATTTTTATGAGCGTTTGAAATTC